ATGGTTGTGCTGCAGGTACCCCAATCCGGGAGAATATCCAGCATCGTCGACTACAATGGCTCGGTCATGTGCTACGTATGCCGAAACACCGTCTACGGAGACGAGTGTTGTTCTCCGTGCCTCCTTCCGGATGGCGCAAACCGCGAGGTGGACAGCACACGGCTTGGCAGAATGGTGTGAAAGAGATCACGAAGGGTTTGGGTGTTGTTGGTGTTGCACGTCTTCCAGGATGGGGTCCCCGTGACCCCGTCTGTGCTTGGCTGGAGATGTTTTAAGAAATGGCAGGTAATCGATGTCAGCGGCGTTCGTGCTGTCAGTTTCAAAAATATGCGATTGAGCGGTTGAAGGTGTAGGCACCTCAGAATGCTTGACATAGGCCAGCACTAGGTCCGCTCCCTCCCTCACCCACTTTTTCTCTTTTCACCCTAGGGCATTAGTACCAACAGTGATGTTGCTGTCTTTGATGATGATGATGATGATGATGATGATGATGATGACTAACTGCCATGAATTCCGTTGATGTGTTGGTCTGTTACGGTTCTATCGGGCACGTCTTATCGCCTGCGTTGACTGAACACTACAATTTACATGCTTAGACAAAAACTAATGTTTGAGTTTTGCCCGAGCTTTTGTCCACATTCGTGGATAACATGATGTAGGAAGCATTCATTACATCCCTTGGAACAACCACAGAAATGTTCGTTTGGCCTACTGGAGTTCAGACTACTGAAGCGATCTACGGCATCAAAACGTTAACTACAGTAGATTGCTCAGAGATGAAACGGAACGAAGGATGAGATGGCTGTGTTTAGAGCGGGAATTTATTAACCAGAAGGTCCTGGGTTCAAGTCCGACCTTTGTCTCTCGATTTCTCTTGCCTATGCTTGGGGACGCTGGTACCATCCCAAACCTTGTGCTTCCTTCGGGTGGCATGGCAGTTGGGCACCGAAAGGGTATTACAGCTGAACGATTATTTTATTATTATTTTCACTTATTTTCATTTAGCTAGTGCGTCCAGATGTAGGCACATTTACAGTTTATTTTATCTCAGTATGCGGTAGCGTTTGTGATCCTAAATGGCATCTCTTTTGAAATCGCTGTCACTGCTAAGACCTTAGAGAGACTGTTCGCCTGATCACCGCCATGTCAGATACTAGTGAACTTTCCTGCAATAATTATGATCATAATCATAATTATGATTATGATGACCGAACGTTCGCGGAACTTGTTCATGAACCCCAAGCATTTGGGAAAAACAATCTATTCATTCTGGTGCAGTTCCTCTCCCATGCGGCAACCACGTCAAGATGCAAAACTGCCGAAGATTTGGCCTAACACATTAACCATCAAAACCCTAGATATACTTGCCATTAAGCGGCTCGAGATGGTTCAGTGGTTAAGACGTGAGCTTACCGGTTCGACTGAACCCCGGTAGCTCGACTGCTCCTGTATAGACTTAGGCAACCTAATAATATCTTATCCCTCATACTTATTTTGAGTGGCGTGACAGTTAGACACTGAAAGGATGTCGCAGCTGATTGATTATCATGGTTCGCCAGGATGCACTATTGATTCTATCCTCCCAAAATGGTTTGGAAACAGGCAAACGCTGTTTGGAATAAATATTCTATCCACGTCCGATTCAGCTGCTGGCCGCCTACTCTGTTGCCTTCCGACTCATTGGACCACGAAACCCTGATTTATCATGGCATCAGACGATGCATATTACTGAAGTGTGTGTGCGCAGTTCATCTTATTGTATTTGGCAGTGACTTTGATAAATCGCCCTTAGTGCTGACTTACGGCAAGGTTGTGTGGTGTCGCAGGTGCTTATCAACTGCGCATTCAGTTGATTGGTGCACAATGTCTTAGGAGCTTTCCCAGTCGTCTAGCTGGGATCGTTTGTCCTTATTCGGAAACAAGTTTATGGACGACCTTGTTCTCGATGGGCGCTCAAGAGGCTCCTGGCTGCAACATCCATTTCACATCTGTCTGTTTAAAAATCAATGCATCCAAATGCGACATAACACAAAAATTATTGTGGTGCTCGAAGGAAGGTGAGATACTGCCAGGTTTTCCAGGCCTATACAGTACCACTCAACTAGCCAAAGATTGGTTCGAACCGTGGCTTCTGTGAGTATCAGCCGTACTGAGCTCGTATACGCTTGGCATAGACGCGTTACCGTAAATTAAGGTGTTTTCAGTCGCCGTCTGAACTTCTCACCTCCGCCCGATGAGCATCGCTTCTGTTCCTTCCAGGCGTTAGAATGGAACTTTTGGTTCTGGGGCCCGTGTCTTCTAGTGTCAGCGGTTGCGCAATCATGCATTGTCTGTATCTCCATACTTACAGGCGCTCGAGGGTGGGGAGTGTGTGGGGGACACTCCAAAAGCTTTCCTAAACTCAATGGTGTTCGAAAAATAGAGCCACTTTCACCACTTTTAATTTCGATGAAATAATGTGATGAACCCTGAAAGGTGTCCGAAAACCCAGTGTTCAGATCTCCCCAAGAGAGAACCTCGTATATCTGGAGTATGCGGATGACATCGTTCTCGTTTTTTGAAAAAGTGCAGAAAGTGTATGCATTATTGGAATAGTTGGTCAAGGCCACTTAGTCCTTCAGCATGTATTTCGTACCTCAGAGTGCGAAGTCATATTGCACGATGTACAATCCTTGGACATTCAATGAGTGACACTGAATGTTCCAGAACAGTACCGGTATCTCGAAATTCGCATTAGCTCTGACGGTCAGATTTAACGCACGCATATCAAAGACCTGAGTGCGTCTGTGAATTTACGCCACTTATGGCATCAAAAAGACATGTCATCTGTTCTCAAAGGACCTATGTCAGACTACGTTACCGGTTCTATTGTTGTACGTCTTCGAGATTTAGCCACTTCGGGCGGAGCATCTAGGATGTCTTCGGGCGTTTGACTATCGTTGCTTCAGAACTATGGTTGGAATAAACTATAACCAGCGAATTCGCAATTGGCTGATGGGGACACGAATCTTCAGTGAAGCTGAATGTACTTCACTCAAAAAATGCATCCAGCAAACCAAGCTGTGACTGGACCACGTGTCACAAGTACCAGGTTGCGGCCTTAGGGGAAGAGTGTTGGAGTCGTACAAACCTAGAGCTGAATGTTACGAAAAGTTTGGGTGAGGGCACTCTGACCAGGACGGAGGAAAGATTGGCGGTTCGAACATGTGTGGCGGCGCGTTCCGTAGAAATTTAATGTGATTGCATTTCCAGCCAAAACCCCTGCATTGCTATGGACTTTTGAGTCGAAGGTTTTGGTGGAAGACCCTAATCGTCCTACTGTTTAGCCTTAGGCGCCCTTGGAGTATCTCAGCTCACGTACAACCATGAATTGCACATACGCAAATAAACTCATGACGCATCAGCCGGACCGCCTTACTTGCTGCATACGGCATGACGGGTAAGCGAAAACAACCCACTTCTGACGCCTCCTTTCTTTCTCCTCCACATACTT